CTCGGGGCAGCATGGCTTGCTGGCCCATTTGCCAGGCAACCAGTGCCTGCCTGGCAACTGATGCCACCTATTAGATATAAACAGAGAAGATTAAAGCTCTCCCTACCTGCCGGGGTCCTTCCTCTTCTCTGCGGCGCAGTCCCCCTTGCCCTTCTCCATCTCCTGCAGCAGGGCCATTTGGATGGGGGTGCTTGCCTTCGCTGCCGGTGCTGCCCCGGTGCTGTCGCACCCGGCAGTCGGGCTGGGAGCTGCGTTTCATGGCCTGGAGCTGTGCCAAGGGCACAATGTCGCAGCCCTGGGGCCGGTGCCACACCGTCTGCTGCGTGATGGCATTGTAGTAGTAGAAGCGGTTGTTGTTCTCGTCGAAGAGCTCCCACCACTGCTTCTGGTCTGACTGGCGTACCTTCAGGTTGGGAGGGGGCTCCCAGCCGCACTCGCCAGTGGTCAGGTTAACGTACATCCGCTCCTGGGAGCGGGGCTCGATGATCTCCACCCAGTCCGAGCTGCAGGGACACAAGAGCAGCGTTAGTCCGGAGGCAAACGGGTTGTCTGCGAGTCCTGCAGAGCTGCTGCCTCTGGGCCAGGCAGCTGCGCTGCAGATCAAGGCATTGCTGGGGGCTGTTCAGCAATCTAAGGAGCTCAGGGAAAAACAAGGGGAAGGTTTTGGGATGGGGTTGAGCCAAACAGGCAGCTCCTTGGCACAGGGAAGGAGAGGTCACTCCCACAGCCCAGCCCAGCCATCAGCTCATGTCACCCACCAGCCCGGGACAAGCGGCATGAGGCAGGCGAGCATGGTCTGCTGGTGCTCTGGTAACTCACAGCCAGGGCTGGGGCAGTTGCAGGAGTGCCAGCGCCTGGCAAGGTGCGTGGGGAACTCGCTTGCGAGAGCTGGGAGGATCCACAAAGCAGGATCTGCTCCTTTTGGGAGCTGCACCCTGTCGTTAAGGCCACCTCAACAGACCAAACCCCTGACTCCCGACAACATGGGCAGCCCGCCCACGTGAGTGCCTGCTCACAGGGCTCACAAGCTGGGGGGCTGCAGGGGACCTCTGGGTCACCTGGTCCCTGCTCAAAGCCCACACTTGCTTGCCCAAAAGATAAATGCGGGGAGTGACTGCTGGATGAGACCATCTCCATCACAAGCCCTTCCCTTCGTCCCTTGGCTGGTGGGACAAAGCCCTCAGTAGCCCTTTGGGTGTAAGGTGACCCAAGGGACATGCACAGCCTGCTGCGGATCCGTAACCCCTCTGCTGCCCAGAGGAGCCCCTCCAGCCCCAGGGTCCCTCACCAGCACCCACGCTGGCTGAGCCTAGGGCTCAGCAAGAGCGCGATGCAGGCAGTGCTGTTGGGCTGGTTTTCAGGTGGATCAGTGCAATGGTTCTGTGGCAACAGAGGTGTTGGGCAGTGCAGTCCTCACGTGTGGCACAGCAGCTTTTAACACTGACCCACCTACCCCAAAAAGCTGGTCCAGATGAGAGCACAGGAGCTCAGCAAAGCCAATGCCTCCATGATGCTTTAGCCAAAACCATTTGGGCTGGCCCAGGTAAGCAGAAGGCAGTGCAAACCCCAGCAAGGTCTCCTTCTGCGTGGGAGAGACGCTGCCTCTAAAGCGATGCTGCCCCTGGCAGCGCACTCGAGTGGGTAGCTGAACACACAGAGAAACTGTACACGTGCCCCCGGCTCCTTCTCGCCCCCCGCCCCCCAGTCCTGGCCCTCCACCCTCCTCCTCCGCCCTGTGGCAGTAGAGG